AAGAGAGAGCACTTAGCGTCTCTCATAGGGATGCTGGTGTGAATTACGGGAAAACAGCAGGGCCAGATTCTAATTTACTGGATGAAAATTCTCTCGATTTCAATTTATTGGAACTTTACCCTTTGAATAGTCTCAAGTGGTATGATTTCTGTTTCAGAGAAGTGCTTACTAATAGAATTGTGAGGAGTTCAAACGATCTTGGATCTGTCCTTCATTCCGTGCAGGAAAAAAACTCCGTTGTACTTGTGAGTATATACAGAACACCGGAGAATATTGTAAGGAATATCCTCTGCCACTTTGAGAGGCTGGATATCCGAAATTACGTCCTGATTGGCCCACATTCTCCTTTCCTTCTTGATCTTTCTAGAAGGGGGCACCCTGTTATTGACGCAAGCCAATTTTCCGACTTTAGTCAACTTGCCAAGTCTATCAATTTTCAAGATTCAACTGTGGATCTGATCAAAGAAATTTTGGTGAAGGCATATGCAACTAAAAAGAGTTTGGAACTTGGTTATAGTACCTGGTTGGTAGATGGCAGCACTCTTCCTATTAGTGGTGACTCGTTTTCCGATTCTTTTAGTAGTGCAGGTGATTTTTATATTGGGAAAACTAGTAGACTTATCTTTCTGAGGAGCTCATCCTCTACTTTAAAGATTTGGACCGACGATTTTGTATACAATGCTGCTTCACTAGTGGACACATTAACGAAAGAATCAGTTTCTCATGACGACATTATTTTCTATGGAGTCGAGAAATTATTGGAGAAGCAGAATATTAAGTATAACAGCATTGAGGATATGCAACTCGCTTTGGATATCGGAACCGTTCGTGCTAACCAAACCTCGTTTGATACAAAGAATAGATTTATTTTCTGGTCTTCGGAAACAGAGTTGGATGTTATAAAGAGGCAACTCGCACATTTGGATTTGTGGGTTGTGGATAGTGATTCTTCGTGTACTGGCGTTTTCTGTCACAGGTCATAGTATTTGGTTGTACACGTCATCTGCTTTTACAGTCGATCTTTGTGCAATACACAAGTGAAACAGTGGGTTTTTGGACAGAAAATGAATGAGTGGGCCTCGATGCACTCTAAATCCAACTTTCCATACAAATCAGATTGCGTTCTGATATTTGTGGACTGACTGTGAAAGCATATGCCAGTCGAAAGATGGACAATGAGGTCACTTTTTAAGTAGCATCATTGTTGGAAGCAAATGAAGCTGGGCTTTATAATTATTTTAACCCGAGACGCATAGATATTCGTGTAGAGGAATCGGAATTATTGAAGTTTGTTTGGGGGAAGTTGGCGAGCAGATATTACATCATAATCTATACTACTCTGTACCATACTGAACAATAAGATTGACTAGTCAACGGGTACGTGTTTAACTGTAGTTGTGCGAGAATGTTTTGTAGTGTATTAAGATACCGGCGATAGCATGCGTGTTCTGCATCATCATTGACATATATGCCTTGGCAATCTTGAACCGCAGGGAATTTGTATGTTTGAGGTTGTGAATTGTGATATATATACTCGAAGTTTATTTTCCTCCTTCAGAAATTGAAATGTTAAATGTCGTTTCAATTTTACGGATGCTGTAAATCCAAAAATATGCACAACTTGCTCATCTAACCACCAATTTAGCTAATTCAAGTTGGATTACAAAGTCAATTCGAAAGTCGATTGTAAAATAACTTGTATAAACAGATTCGAAAAATAACAAAATTTTGATTAAATGACACGGTGACGAACATAGAGCCACCCGAAAAACATTTGCGAAACATTCAAGTAGAAACAGTACCCGACAAATAAGGATCAAATCTTTCTCCAGAAATAAAACCCTGCATTTGATCTTGAACCTGAACCCAACTGCACCCGGGATTCTTCTTCACTCTCCTCGTACTCATCGTTTTCCTAACCCTATCCGCATCTTCCCACCTCCCCGCTTCAGCGTACATATTCGACAGTACAACATAGTACCCAGGATTATCGGGCTTCGCTTCTAGAAGATTCTCACCCGCCCAAAACCCCAACTCCACATTCCCATGAACCCTACTCGCCCCAAGCAAAGCCCCCCAAGTATTCGCACCTGGTTTCATCGGCATGCCATTAATGAGCTTCACCGCCTCTTCCATAAGTCCACAACGACCAAGAAGATCCACCATGCAAGCATAATGCGTTTCGGAAGGTTCTAGATTCTTCCGGGCCAACATATCGTTAAAGTACGATTTCCCCCTCTCGACTAGCCCGCCATGGCTACATGCAGAAAGAACCGCTATGTAAGAGACCGAGTCGTATTCCACACCATCTTCTTTCATTGCTTCGAAGAGATCGACAGAACTTTGAAATTCTCCGAGCATTCCAAACCCTAGAATCATAGTATTCCACGAGGCAGTATCCCTCTTGGGAATTCGATCGAACAATTTCTTTGCGATTTCGATTTGTCCACATTTAGTGTAGAAGTCGAGAAACGAGTTTGCAATAAAAAGATGCTCGTGGAACAATCTTCTCGTTGCGAAAGCATGGATCTGTTTTCCTTCCTTAACTGCAGACATGTTTGTGCATGCAGACAAAACTCCCATGTAAGAAACTGTGTCAAGATTCAGGCCCAGCATTTCCATTTCTGTGAACAAGCTGATCGAGTTGGAGGACTCGTTTGTTTGTGAATATCCCATTATGAGTGTATTGTAGGATATTTCATCTCTGGGTGAAGTGTCGAATATAGTTCGAGCAAGATTCAGACAGCTACATTTCGCGTACATGTCTGTCAAAGCATTCGAGACGAACAAATCGAAGGCGGACCCCACCCGGATGGATCTTGCATGTATTTCCTTACCGTGACGAAGAGAGCCTATTCTAGCACAAGCAGGAAGAATATTACTCAGAGTGACGGAATTAGGAATTTCGCCACGAGTTTGCATCTCTCTAACGAGCTCCAATGCTTCAAATTCGAGTCCATTTTGAGCAAAGTTACCAATCATTGTATTCCATGAAACAATGTTCTTGGCACCAATGTTATAAAATACGGACGAAGCTTCGGAGAAACGTCTCGATTTTCCGTACATATCAACTAATGCATTGGCAACGAAAGCATCAGAATCCATGCCAATTTTTACAGTGAAACCGTGGATCTCTTTACCCTTGTCGAGTAAATTTAGTTCTATCAATGTCGGTAAAATGGTGGCAATAGTAACGGTGTTTATTTCCACATGCTCGCGTATCATTGCTCTAAAACAATTCAACGCATTGCTGTTCAACCCCGTACGTGAAAAGCCACCAATTATTGAATTCCAAGAAACCTCATTTCTTTCGACCATGTCATCGAAGACTCCTTCCAAAGCCCCGGTATTCCCACACTTTCCATACGCATCAACCAATGCGTTTCCAATCCTTATTTCGCCATCCAAACCAACCTTGAATACGTAAGAGTGAATCAAACTAACCAACCTCTCGTTCTCGAGACTAGCACAGACTGGCAGAACACTCACAACACTGATCACATTAGGCACGAAACCCGACTTTGCAATCATATTCTTAAACAAACCAACGCAATCCAAAAGCCGCTCGTTGTCCGCAAAAATCCGAATACCTGTATTCCAAGAGATCAAATCTCTCTTCGGCATTTCATCAAACACCTTCCCTACGCTACGTAGATCACCGCAGCTGCCATAGAACAGAATGAGAGTGTTGTTCACAAACACATCGTCATCAAAACCAGCCTTAATCAACCTCCCGTGCACCTCCAAACCTTTTAACAAATGCAAGAAATCCGCACAGAGCTTGAAAACGAAAGGAAAGGTGTAATCGTCAGGCCCGAAAGGAGCAGCCCTCAACAAATCATTATACAGCCAAAATCCGAGATCAACGACGCGTTTCTTGTGCGGGCCAGTCGACAGTACGGTACACGCGCGGATGAAGGTGTTGTGGAGGAAAGGGGAGCGGGAGAATGATGCTGTCTGAGTGAAGAGGGATTGGAGGATGGAGGGAGGAGAGTGGTGGGCGGCGTAAGAGAGGATGAGGGCGGCGGAGATTGAGACGCTGGAAGGAAGGTGGCCATGGATGACGGCGAGGGCGTGGGCTTGCCGGGTGGAGGAAAGGGACTGCGCGGCGGTGCAGATAGGGAGGATGTCGGCGGTGGGCGGCCATTGCGGTGGCGGGGGAGCACCGGTGGAATGGAAAGCGGCGAGGGGATGTAGGCGAGTGGGAGTGGGAGAAGCTAGACGAAGAAAACGGACATGGTGGAACATAACATTTCTGTACGAGGTATTGTATGGCTTTCTTCTTCTGCCTAAATTCTGATACTGTATTTAAATACCGGGAAAAATACAGTTTTAATCCCTCAAATTTGCATCAAATTCACATTTAATCCCTATGTTTACAAAAAATATATTGGTCTCTCATATTTTAAAAATTTAATATTTTTAGTCATTTTCGTCATTTTTCCGTTGGTACTAACGGAATCAAGCGTGTATACATCACTGAATTAACTGACAGACTAACGGTAAATTGACGAAAATGACAAAAAATGTTAAATTATTGGAACATAGCCACATAGGGGACCAAATATATTTTTATAAAATATGGGGGCCCAAATGTGTAATGTGCAAACTTCAGGGGTGAAAACTGTAGTTTTCCCTTTTAATAGCAGTTCATTTCATGGTTTGAATTATTATACAATTAAGATGGATTAATCTTCCAACAACGTCTGGGTGGTGTAGTCGGTTATCACGCTAGTCTCACACACTAGAGGTCCCCGGTTCGAACCCGGGCTCAGACATTTATTTTTAATCGTGTTGCAATTTTTCTTTAAGGTAAAATAAAGGCACGTTAGATTGAGAAAATTGAATATTTTAGATTTTGGAAATATATTTTTCATTCCGAATTCCAATTCGTTTTTAAAAACGGAATTAGAATATATAAACTCCAATTTTAGTTTCCGAAAATATTTCCTTCAATTCCAAAATTTACCGAACATTAAACTTGTCGTATCAATATTATTATGTATTTTATATTAAACGATACGTAAATGTTTGATTTTACAAGTTTTTTTGCACTCTAACTTTATGATATTTCCAATTTTTATATATTTTTTATTTTATTAATTTTCATTTATCCGATTTTCACCCATAGTCTAAATGCCAAATGCATTAAGTATTGGAAAAAGGGGAAACTACAGATAAATCCCTAATCCAAAACTCAACACACAGATCAGTCCCTAGGTAGTTTCCCCAAGCAATTCAGTCCCTATTCACGCGTCTGACATGCAGTTCAGTCCCTAATGTGAATTTTATATATTTTATTATATTCTCTCTCTTCTTTTTCACTCTCACCCTTTTCTCTCTCTTCTTTTTCTCTCTCTTCATCTTCTCTTTCTTTCTTCTCTTTCTTCTCTGTTTCTACTGCTCTCTTTCTTCTCTATTTCTTCTCTCTTTCTCTCCTCTGGTTTCCTCTTTTTCCGACGAAAAAATCACTGTAAAACCCACCCACCCCACAATGGTTTCGAATCCCGGAAGGTTATTTTACTGTTGCCCACACCATGGCTACTCCCATTGGTGTGAACCATTTGAAGTTGGGCAAACTTTTTCCAACTCAAATCGTGAAGAAAATGAAGCTACAAGTGCGTCGATGAACCAAGTCCATCAAGAAAGTGAAATGAAGAATTGCAATTCTGAAGGTGGAGTAGTTCATAGTTTGATAGTGTTGAATCTAGTAATATTTGCAGTCTACATGCTATGTAAAACCTATGTACTGTTGTTTAATTAGTGAACATAAGAGTACAATGTATAAGCTGGTAAAGTTCGGGTTATTCGTGAATATAGTACGCTTTGTCCACTAAATAAGTACAATGTATAAGCTGGTAAAGTTCGGGTTATTCGTGAATATAGTACGCTTTGTCCACCAAATAAGTACAATGTATAAGCTGGTAAAGTTCGGGTTATTCGTGAATATAGTACGCTTTGTTCACCAAATAAGTACAATGTATAAGCTGGTAAAGCTTGGGTTATTCGTGAATATAGTACGCTTTGTTCATCAACTAAGTACAATGAATACACATGTGAAGTACAAGGGATTCGTGACTATAGTACGATTTGTTCACTGATAAAGTATATGTTTGCCATTTATATAGTATTGTTACAGTCTATATATTATTGTCGGTCCAATGCATCCATATGATCGCATTTTAAGACACAACTCTTCATTTTAAGACTATTAAGAATGAATGGAGACAATGTGGGAGTTGATCAATATCGATTATGGTAACAATTGAAGAAAATATTAGTTTTACACTTGAGCATTGTAGACATGTATGAAATTCACCATATTTATGGGATCTTGTATTCCAAACGCAACAATAATTCTCAAATTCAACATATTTATGGGATCTTGTATTCCAAACGCAACAATAATTCTCACCTACCTTAAAATAACCATCTAAAACATAATTTATGCATCTCCCGTACTTATTGATCATTAAAGCGTCAATGAAATTGGTACAATTCAATTCATCAAAAAATATGGTACGTTTTGTTCATCAAGTAAGTACAATGAATACACTTGTGAAGTACAACTGATTCGTGACTATAGTACGATTTGTTCACTGATAAAGTATATGTTTGCCATTCATATAGTATTGTTACAGTCTATATATTATTGTCGGCCCAATGCATCCATATGATCGCATTTTAAGACACAACTCTTCATTTTAAGACTATTAAGAATGAATGGAGACAATGTGGGAGTTGATCAATATCGATTATGGTAACAATTGAGGAAAATATTAGTTTTACACTTGAGCATTGTAGACTTGTATGAATATATTGTATAGTATATGAGTATCATGTATGAAATTCAACATATTTATGGGATCTTGTATTCCAAACGCAACAATAATTCTCACCTACCTTAAAATAACCATCTAAAACATAATTTATGCATCTCCAGTACTTATTGATCATTAAAGCGTCAATGAAATTGGTACAATTCAATTCATCAAAAAATATGGTACGCTTTGTTCATCAAGTAAGTACAATGAATACACTTGTGAAGTACAAGTGATTCGTGACTATAGTACGATTTGTTCACTGATAAAGTATATGTTTGCCATTCATATAGTATTGTTACACTCTATTTATTATTGTCGGGCCAATGCATCCATATGATCGTATTTTAAGACACAACTCTTCATTTTAAGACTATTAAGAATGAATGGAGACAATGTGGGAGTTGATCAATATCGATTATGGTAACAATTGAAGAAAATATTAGTTTTACACTTGAGCATTGTAGACTTGTATGAATATATTGTATAGTATATGAGTATCATGTATGAAATTCAACATATTTATGGGATCTTGTATTCCAAACGCAACAATAATTCTCACCTACCTTAAAATAACCATCTAAAACATAATATATGCATCTCCCGTACTTATTGATCATTAAAGCGTCAATGAAATTGGTACAATTCAATTCATCAAAAAATATGGTACGCTTTGTTTATCAAGTAAGTACAATGAATACACTTGTGAAGTACAAGTGATTCGTGACTATAGTACGATTTGTTCACTGATAAAGTATATGTTTGCCATTCATATAGTATTGTTACACTCTATTTATTATTGTCGGGCCAATGCATCCATATGATCGCATTTTAAGACACAACTCTTCATTTTAAGACTATTAAGAATGAATGGAGACAATGTGGGAGTTGATCAATATCGATTATGGTAACAATTGAAGAAAATATTAGTTTTACACTTGAGCATTGTAGACTTGTATGAATATATTGTATAGTATATGAGTATCATGTATGAAATTCAACATATTTATGGGATCTTGTATTCCAAACGCAACAATAATTCTCACCTACCTTAAAATAACCATCGAAAACATAATTTATGCATCTCCCGTACTTATTGATCATTAAAGCGTCAATGAAATTGGTACAATTCAATTCATCAAAAAATATGGTACGCTTTGATCATTGACTGCAATCTTCTTTTACATCAATTCCTGCAATTACATACACATAAAACTACAATTATAACAAATACAACGTACTATAAAGTTCCACATGTCAATACCATCCAAAGTTACTCGTAATACCATTCAAAGGCACTAGTAATACTATTATGGCATAAGACTTATACTACAGGACCATCAAACATTATACTTCTAGTACCATATGTCAATACCATCCAAAGTCACTAGTAATACCATTCAAAGGCACTAGTAATACTATTATGGCATATGACGTATACTACAGAAGCATCAAACATTATACTTCTAGTACCATATGTCAATACCATCTAAATGCTTTCGGGACAGTACTTCGAGTACCCTGTGTCAATACCATCTAAATGCATTATTAATACCATTACTGTCCATGACACATACTATAGAACCAGTACGAAAAATACAATAAGCCTCTTTCCCATATCCTATATGAAACCCTTGTTAACCCTTTGGGGACATGCTAATGTCACCGAAGAATAATACCCATGAGGAAACTGTTTACAAAATCATGAAATTCGACAACAAATAAATGATATTTGCAAACCCAAACAACAGAAAAACAGATATTGGAACCGATTTAATGATTAGGGAAAACACCGAATAAAGTCGAGGCATAATACCCATGAGAGGATATGTTCAAAATCATGCAATTCTACAACAAATAAACCTTTTTGCAAGCTTAAGCAACACCCAAATGGGTCTGTTTCCAAGAAAATGAAAGAAAAAAGAAATCAAACCTTGTTGTTTACCCTGCTTCACCATTGTCGAGAAATGGGTTTGTTTATTTTTATTTTTCCTTTCGTTGTATAATTTTTCTGCGTTTTGTTGATTCTTCGTGCTTCGTTGTTTCTTCCTTCTTTGAAATGTAACGGGCAAAGAGCGTGTAACACAAACGGCGCGTTGGAGGTTGGAAATAAGTTATGTAAAATTAGTATAAAGTAAAGGGTATTTTAGTATTTGCACATTTTATTAGGGACTGAACTGCATGTTAGGCGCGTGAGTAGGGACTGAATTGCTTGGGGAAACTACCTAGGGACTGATCTGTGTGTTGAGTTTTGGATTAGGGATTTATCTGTAGTTTCCCCTTGGAAAAATGATAAAATATTATTAATAAATTAATATATAATAAGTAAATTCATACATAATCAGAGATACTGTACTCGGCTAAAAAAGATTGAAGTTAGCGTAATGGAAAGAGAAGAAGGAGAAGATGATATTGTTTGCTTGGAGTCTTTCTTCATCAACGACAAGTATTTTCTGCTTCTCTTCTCTCTTACATCAAAACACTTTATTTGCATATTCTTGTTTCTATTTCTGAAACAAAGATTGTTTTTTTTTTCTTTTTTCTTTTTTTTTTTTGAAGCTACAAACTGACGAGGTTTACATTCGGGTCGGAAGTTCTTGAACTGTATTGCCTTCAGTCCGCTTCAAGTGAGATCCCTTCTCTTCCACTTTTTGAAGAAACAAAAACCCATATCTGATTTTATTTTCTGTAATTTTTTATGCATTTAAAGTGTTTGATGTTTTGTCTCAGTCAAAATGCTGTGGATCTTTATATCCTCTGTCATACTGCTTAATCATCTTTGAATGAAAAATTGACTCTAAGAGCTGTTGTAACAAGTTTATTTACATTTCTGGAGAATCAATTGTACGAATTACTCTTATTTGCAAATACGATCAATTGATTTCAATTCGATCTTCCGATTGTATCTAGTGCAACATACTAAAAAGGGGAACATGTGAAAGAATCTATGATCATTGTACAAGTAGTGTTATTTTAAATGCACTCGATTATACATCTTGAAGTTAGGGTCTAACTGTCGATTTGGCAGCTGATTTTGATTTGACAGGACAGTTGGTTTGGCCCGGAGCAGAGCTTATGAATATGTATCTCTCGAAAAATTCGGACATGCTGAGAGGTTGTTCTGTTATCGAGCTTGGCTCTGGTGTTGGTTAGTGTTAGTCTTAGACCTCCTTACATTTCGTATCTTGCAGTTTACAATGTGAAAATTAAAATACTATTGTTTAAGGAAAGGAACAATTTCGTGTATTATATCCGTATTCGTGATATATGACGGATGCTGGATTATTTCGAACAATGAGTTGATTACGGAATTCATTTTGCAGGCATTACTGGAATATTCTGTAGTCGATTTTGCAGTAAGGTAGTACTGACAGACCATAACGATGAGGTTCTTAAGGCAAGGTTAATCGATAATACACTTAATGCTTTTATCTAGCCATATATATATATATATATATATATATATATATATATATATATATATATATATATATATATATATATATATATATATATATATATATATATATATATATATATATATATATATGTATATATATATATATGTATATATATATATATGGGTGTATGGGGCTATATCTCTTTCATCAATATAAGCTCATCTCTTTAATATCTTATATATAAAAGAAAGAAACGCTAGGGCAACCCTAAGAAACCCTAATGTCATATTTGTAATTTTTTTTCAATTTTTATCTAATTTTTATCTCCTTATTATTATTTTAAATATTATTTTTGAATTTTATCATATTTGTATCCCCTACATATTATTTTAAATATTATTTTTTATTTTTATCAGATTTTTGTCTCCTAAATATTATTTTTTATTTTTATCAAATTTTTATCTCCTAAATATTATTATAAATAATATTTTTTTAATTTTATCAAATTTATATCTCCTAAGTCCTAACTATAATTTTAAATATAATTTTCAACTTTTAGCAGATTTTTATCTCCTAAATATTATTTTTGAATTTTATCAAATTTATATCTCCTAAATAATATTTTAAATATTTTTTTCGAGTTTTA